TTTTTTTTTAAAAAAATACACAGTAACAGATAGAAAACTGTTGTGGCCCAGCAGGAGCCATTGGAGCTGCCACCAGACTCCGACAGCGAGGGGCCCTATGAGTCAGCCCTGGAGGATGTGGAGGACCCTGAACAAGGTTCCGACTCCGAGGAGGGTGCAGAGAGACTGGTTGGCCACCAGGTGGCCCCTGAGCCTTGGATCAGTGGGGAGGAGACAAGGGAGAGAGATCCAGAAGCCAACAGTGAGTTGTTCCGGGATGAATGCCGTCAAAGAGCTACTCGGGCGTCAAAAACAACTACATAATTACAGGAGGTAATTACGCTCAGCTGATGGTCATTAGGCTCCTCTCCAGACTATAAAAAAGACTGCTTGTACCACGCCCTTCTTGCAGAAGTCAACGCTTTGACTAAAGAAGAACAAACTTGGCAGGCTGAAATTGCTGCCAGAGTTTGTCTGAATTGCTGCCAAGGTTTGTCGGACTTGCTGCCAAGATCCTTATCTGTTTGTTTACTTGGCTTTCAGCCACCAAGAATCTGGACTTGCTATTAAAGGACATTCTCATTAACCGTGTGTTGGCTTTCATTAGTGGATGGAGGAGGGGGTCAGAACAGTCTCCTATCTTGTCCTTTTGAGCCATGTCCTGCCCTCTTTCATTGGAAAAACAATTGAACTAAAAATAGTAAATGGACGTCCCATCAACTGGTTTGGTGTTATAATACAATGTTTCCCAACCTCAGCAATTTTAAAAAGTGGGGACCCGAAGGTGCTTTTTTCAAGAGGCAACTGGACTTTCTGGTTTTTCTTTGAAAGAGTTTCGCTTCTCATCCAAGAAGCTTCTTCAGCTCTGGATGAGAAGTGAAACGTCTTCAAAGAAAAACAGAAAGTCCAGTTGCCCTCTTGAAAAAAGCACCTTTGGGACAACTATGACCTGGATGACTGAGAATCTCCATAGACATTTAAAATGCGGGGACTTCAACTCCCAGAATTCCCTATGATTTTGAGATATCTGGACTTCAACTCCCACAATTCCCCAGCCAGCAAACAAGCTGAAGTCCACACATCTTAAAGTTGCTGAGGTTGAGATACACTGGTCCAATGAATATGAACTGGAGCAAAACATAATCCCTATATTTTCCCCTTACATGAAATATATAAAATGATGAATCTGAGTATTACTCGGGCCATCTTTTTAATAAGCTTTTCCACTTCCTTTTGCTTGGCCAGGTTTCCCTGGACTTTTCTGTTACATTCTTCAGCATTGCCAACATAGGCCCGGAGGAATGCTTCCAGCTTAATCTTGGCAAAATTATGTTCCTTTGTCCTCTGCTCGGTCAGGTAAGCAGGGTGCTGCAAGAAATTTTTTAAAAAGTGTATTAAAGAATATACAGACAAATTATGTATCTTTCTGTCTGTCTGTCTGTCTGTCTGTCTGTCTATCTATCTATCTATCTATCTATCTATCTATCANTCCCTCCCTCCCTCCCTCCCTCCTTCCTTCTTCCTCTAGTATTGAAGTAGCCAATTTACCCACATTTAATTCCCCCAGGAGTCATGGGCTCTGGATTTTGGATACATTCTGTAAGTTAGCCATTTGAAGTTATCTTGATTCAAAAATTGTTATCATATGATGCACTGTTTTGCCATGACATGAAGAGTTTTAGTACTATATAGATGAGAATTTTGTGGCCAAGGCTGATCAAACCACAAATAAAAGCAGAAGAAATTTGGGCAATGCAAGGAATGACAACATTGCTTTGTTTGTTGTTCTCATCATTGTCTGTTACAGAGGAGCTCCTGTAGGGTCATTCTGTATATTGCAGGCATATCGGAAAAGCTCAGGAGGATCTTTAGCCAACATAATATACTGTATGTGCACACTTGAAACCCAAGAATACATTAAGGCAGAAGCTTGTCCACCTCAAGGATAAAACACCCACTCAGAAACTGAGTAACATGTTATATGCAGTACAATGCAGTGGGCCATGTGCAGATCTGTACATTGGGGAAACAAAACAACCACTTCATAAATGCAATGCACAAATTAGGAGAAGAAACACATCAGGACTAGATTCAGCAGTCCATCTGCATTTAAAAGACACAGGCCACTTTTTTGAAGACACCAAAGTCCATATTTTGGACAGAGAGGATTGCTGGTTTGAAAGAGGGGTTAAAGAAACAATTAATTCAAAATTGAACAGCCCTCTCTCAACAGAGGGGAAGAGATACGACATCATCTATCTCCAATCTACAACACAGTCCTTTCAACAGTTCCAAGAAGGCTTAATGGGGAGCACCACCATTTGCACCACTCAGATGACCATGATGACAAAATAAACCTCCACGTGACCTTAATGATGTACAAAAAGAATGAAAATGACCAGCTGTCTACAAGAAGTATAAATCCTTCCATTCCCCACCATCCAGTCAGAGCTGAAGAAGCTTCTTGGATGAGAAGCGAA